CTATACTCTTGACTATAGAACAATCTATAGTCTTAACTATAGATCAATCTATAGTTTTGACTATAGATCAATCTATAGTTTTGACTATAGATCAATCTAGCGTCTCAATTATCAATCTATAGTTAAGACTATAGATCAATCTATAGTCTTGACTATAGATCAATCTATAGTCTTGGCTATGGATCAATCTATAGCCTTAACTGTAGATCAATTTATTGTCTATAATCTTAACTTTCGATCAATCTATAGTCTTGACTATAAATCAATCTATAGTCTTGACTATAAATCAATCTATAGTCTTGACTATATATCAATCTATAGTCTTGACTATAGATCAATCTGTAGTCTTGACTATAGATCAATCTATAGTGTTGACTATAGGTCAATCTATAGTCTTGACTATAGATCTATCTATAGTCTTGACTATAGATCAGTCTATAATCTTGACTATATATCAATCTATAGTCTTGACTATAGATTGATCTATAGTCAGGACTGATTATAGATCAATCTATAGTCCTGACTATAGATCAATCTATAGTTCTATCTATAGACTTTACTATAGATCAATCTATAGTATTGACTATTGATCAATCTACAGTCTTAGCTATAGATCAACCTATAGTCTTGACTATAGATTAATCTCTAGTCTTGACTATATATCAATCTATAGTCTTGATTATTATATCAAATAGTGAGAACATGATAAGAATTACACTTTGATACATTTGCAATACTTAAAATTACGTGTGGTAAATATGCAATATCTACAATATGCAAAATATTCCTTAAAAGTAAATTTTCTTTATTTTTTAAACAAATTAAAACTTTTTTTATAACTTTAAGTTAATAAAATATATTTAAAAATATTTTCTTTGTTAAATGTTAAAAAAAATTGTTAATTTTAATTTTATTTTAATATTAATTTTGTTTTTGTTAAATATCAAATATTTTGTTGTTATTAATTATTTTTTAAACAATTTTGTTTTATTTGTTATTTAAAAACAATTAGTTAATTTAAAATATATAAAAATATTTATAAAATTAAATATTAATATTATTTTTTTAGTTGCATAAGAATTGTTATTGTTATTTAAATATTTATCATATATACAAATACATTATTATATTTAAAGAAAATATATTAAAAATAATTAATAAAAAAAAATAGTTTTTAAACCGAAAAGAAATTAACAAAAATAAATAGTTGAAGATGAAAAATAATAATAATAATAAAAAAGATGACGAACAATATACTCCAAAGAAAACAACCAAAAATATATACATTTATAAAAAAGAAAATTTAAAAGAAGAAAAACAATAAAACAAAAAACCACAATATTATATATTATATACAATAATAATAATAATAAAAATAAAAAACAAAAAACATTTACATATTTATATATATTAAATAACAAAACAAAACAAAAAAATATTATAAATATATTACTTACATAATATACAAAACGAACAAATAATAGTCAAAAAACAAAAATAACAAAAAAAAGTTATAAACAAAATTATTTTAACAGAGATGCCATATATTGAATTAGTGAAAAATCTAAAAAAATTAAAAATTTTTATTTATTTTTTAATTTTTTCTATTTTAAACAATTTTTAATTTTATTATTTTAACACATATTTTGAGAGATTAATTAAATATAAAGAAAAATAAATATAATTGTTAACAAATTTATATACAAAAAATACAGAAAAAACAACAACACATTATAGAACTTGAAATGATAAAAATGATATTCTTAGTACCTATTACAATAACATTTTTAAAATAATTAAATTTAGTTTTTAAACAAAAAAAAATGAAAACAAAATGCAAACCAATTATATACATGTTTATATATGTATTGTTATATAAATACATTTTTTAGAAACTAAATTTAAAGCAAAAACAAAAAAAAAAAAAAAAGGAAAAATGTTTTTAAAACTTTAAAAAACTTTGTTAAAACTTCCTAAATTCCACTTGTTCCACCTTTAAAACTTAGTTAAAATGATAAAGTTTGCAATATTTTATCTAAAAAACTCATTTACTATATTTGCAATATCTACAACTATTGCAATACCTAAAATCACAGCAAATAGGCCTGGTAAATATGCAAGACTTTAAACAATGGATTAAAAATGAAACATTTTATATGAAATATTCATTTACTACATTAAAATATATGTATAAAGAAAGATTTTATATGAAAAACACATTTACTACGGTGAAGTAAGTTTACAATACTTCAAATCACAACAAACAGGCCTGGTAAATATACTAGGCCTTAAACTAGAGATCTCTAAAGAAAGAGTTTATATAGAAATCACATTTACTACCTTTAAATAAGTTTGCAATACCTAAAATCACAGCAAACAGGTCTTGTAAATATACTAGGCCTTAAACTAGAAATCTATAAAGAAAGATTTTATATGAAAAACACATTTACTACAGTTAAATAAGTTTGCAATACCTAAAATCACAGCAAATAGGTCTTGTAAATATGCTAGGTCTTAAACTAGAGTTTTATAAAGAAAAATTTTACATGAAACTTTGATTTACTACTTTTAAATAGATCCATAAAGTAAGATTTTATATAAAATATTCATTTACTACCTTTAAATATGTTTGCAATACTTCAAAACACTTCAAACAGGTCTGGTAAATATGCTAGTTCTTAATCTGGAGAACTATAAAAAAAGATTTTATATAAATATGACATTTTCTACCTTTAAACAAATTTGCAATACCTAAAATCACAGCAAACTGGCCTGGTAAATATGCAAGACCTCAAACAATAGTTTTTAAAAGAAACATTTTACATACAATTCTTATTTACTACCTTTAAATAAGTTTGTAATACTTTAAATTTCAATAAATAGGCCTTGTAAATGTACTAAACCACAAACAAGAGATCTTTGAAGAAATATTTTATTTGAAATTCAACATTTACTACATTTAAAGAAGTTTGCAATACTAAAAATCACAGCAAACAGGTCTGGTAAATATGCAAGACCTCAAATAATAGATTTTTAAGGTCTTGTAAATAAACAGAACCTGTACGGATGTCAAAAAGTCTACTTGCTAAGGAAAATTGATGTAAAATCAATAGCTAGCAATTTGCTTATCATATCCATAGTAAATTACTATAGTAAATGTTAAAAACATTGTTAAAATGCAACAGTTTGAAAGATTTTAACAAAATTTTATATGAACTAGTAATTTACTGCATTTCAAACAAATTTGTTATATTGTAAATTATGGCAGAGACCTTGTATGGTTAGTGTTATAATCTACCATTGTAAACTGTGTAGATATGGTAAAAATGCTATACTTTTCTTTATGTTATTAACAAAATGTATAAATTTGTGATTTAAAATTAACAAATTATTAAAAACTGAGATTTACTACATTTCAAACTTGTTTGCAATATAGCAAAATCATTGCAAATAGCTGTGCTATTTGTATATGTAGTAAATTACTATAGCAAACTAAAAAAAAAAACATGTTAAAAGTGCTACACTTTTCTATATAATATAAAAATTTATGATTTATAACCAGCAAATTATTTAAAAATGAGATTTACTACACTTTAACGCACTTGCAATATGACAAAAATTCATTGCAAATAGTATAGGTGGTAAACTACCATTGCAAACTGTAAGACACTGAAAATGATATTGAAAATGTTCCACTTTGGCGGTTTTCTTTAAACAAAATTCATATATTTATGGTTTTAACATTCAAACAACTTTGCAATATTTGCAATAAACATGGAAAATGGGTATGGTAAATATGCAAGACTTGCATAGTTACTAAATTTAGCAGCTAAATATTGAAAATGTTAAAGTTTGTCGTTTTTTAAACAAAATTCATATAATTCTGTTTTTTACCTTTAAACAACTTTGCAATACTTGCAATAAACATGGTAAATGGGTATGGTAAATATGCAAGACTTGCATAGTTACTAAATTTAGCAGCTAAGAATCAACTTATTCTTTTAAATGGTGAAATTGTTAGAGAATAATTTCTTAAAATTTTAGAGACTTTTAACAAGTTTTCTCAAAAGCCTGGAAGATCGAAGAAGTTTCGAATTTTAAAGCTTTAGCTGAAAGTAAGGTTCTGGACCAGAGGATTTTAAGCAACTTGAAAACAAAGTTTTAAAAGTTTTAACATTTTTCTTTGTTATAAAAACAATAACACTAATAAATATTTAATTAAAAACCCCTCTGCCCCGCCCATAAACTTTCCCCCGCCCTCTAATAACATTTGAAATACCCAAAAACCCACCTTTAATTAAACATAACTAACTCCTCCCTTTCCCAGAACCACATCCTTAAGATCTTTAACCCTAAATAAAACCATAATACACTGTTCAAAATACCTGTAAGTTTTTTTTTTCGTTAAAAAAAAAACAAATGAGATTTTATTTATTAATTATTAAGTTTTGTTAAATTTTAGTTTTAAACAATTAAAAAAATGAATATAGAAATTAATAAAATAATAAAAAAACAACAAAAAAATGTTAAAAAATACATATATTATTAATATACAAAAAGGAATAATAAAAAAGAAGTAAAAAAAAGAAAACGTAATAGGTAACGTTTATATACAATATTATTATATTATATATTTAGTATATAAAAACAACAACAACAAGAAAAACAAAAAAAAAAGAAAATTAATATTAAAAAATGAAACGTATTTAATTTTGAGGACAAATAAAAACAAACAAACAACAACAGAAATTTAAAATAAAAAACCAAAAAAAAAAAAACAAAAAAAAAGAGTTTTATTTTACAGAATAAAAACAACAACTAACTTAGGAAAAAAAACTTTATAAATCCAAACAACAACAAGTAGGTATAATTAAACAAAATAATAAAAGAAAAAATTATAAAAAAAAAATTCTAAAAAAAAATTCTAAAAAAAATCTAAAAACAAACTTTCTTTAAAAACATTTTTAACTTATATTTTTCTTTAAATATTTTCTTTACAGATCATTTACAATTACTTATACTCACCACTACAGCTGATAATCAACAGACTCCTTCTAATCATGATTTCATTATAATGGATGATATAAATGCCATCAGTAATGCTCTCAATCATACAACAGCAACACATTTAACAAACGAAGAACATGATGAACATGAACACTGTACACGTTTAGATTCTTGTCAATCACCAGATCAATTTTTCATTTCTATGGTCAATGAATTTCTTAATGATGATACCACTACATTACCCGATGAAACAGCCAAGACATCTCCCTTAGCTATAGAGTATCTGGAAGAACCTAATGAAACTGTTGTAGAAAGTTTAATAAATTTTCATTGTTTAACTAAGAATAGCGAAATCAATAACAGCTCAAACTCCAGCACCTCATCTTCAACTTCAACTACGGCAATAACTCCTGTCTCAACGATATCTTCTGCAACTGGTTTTCGTATCAATAAATTGACTGATGATACCAGAAATATGAATTCTTTACTTTTAAGTAATTTAAATGACAACTTACCGGATAATGTTAAGGAGATTTCTTATCAAAGATTTGGTCGTTTCAATACTAATCTACCAGCTGAGGTACATAATTTTAAGTGTCATCTATGTGCATTTTCTTGTGCTTTAAAGGAAGTATTATTACAACATTTTCAGGATAAACATCCGACTTAGGGAAATAGATTTTGAAAAGAAATTAATTAAAACTGGAATTGTATTAAAATTTTAACAAAATGTAATGAATTTCAAAAAACAGATTCGATATAGTCAAGTCTATAGAACAGACCATACACTGATATATAGTCAAGCCTATAGAATAGACTATAGTCTGATATATAGTCAAGTCTGATATATAGTCAATACTATAGTCTGATATATAGTCAATACTATAGACCAGACTATAGTCTGATATATAGTCCAAACTATAGAACGGACTATAGCCTGATATATAGCCAAGACTATAGAAAAGACTATAGACTTATATATAGTCTAGGCTATAGACCAGACTATAGACTGATATATAGTCAAGGCTATAGAACAGACTATAGTCTGACATATAGTCAAGACTATAGACCAGACTATAGACTGATATATAGTGAAGGCAATAGACCAGACTATAGACTGATTTATAGTCAAGGCTATATACCGGACTATAGTCGGATATATAGTCAAGGCCATATACCAGACTATTGTCGGATATATAGTCAAGGCTATATACCAGACTATAGTCGGATATATAGTCAAGGCTATATACCAGACTATAGTCGGATATATAGTCAGGACTATAGATCAGACTATAGTCTGATATATAGTCAAGACTATAGAACAGACTATAGTCTGATATATAGTCAAGACTATAGAACAGACTATAGTCTGATATATAGTCAAGACTATAGAACAGACTATAGTCTGATATATAGTCAAGACTATAGAACAGACTATAGTCTGATATATAGTCAAGACTATAGAACAGACTATAGTCTGATATATAGTCAAGACTATAGAACAGACTATAGTCTGATATATAGTCAAGACTATAGAACCGGCTATAGTCTGATATATAGTCAAGACTATAGAACCGGCTATAGTCTGATATATAGTCAAGACTATAGAACAGACTATAGTCTGATATATAGTCAAAACTATAGAACAGACTATAGTCTGATATATAGTCAAGACTATAGAACAGACTATAGACTTTTATATAGTCAAGGCTATAGAACATGGTCAAGACATTAGACCAGACTATAGTCGGATATATAATCAAGACCATAGACCAGACTATAGTCTGATATATAGTCAAGACTATATACAAGGCTTTAGTCTGATATATAGTCAAGACTATAGTCTGTCTATAGTCGGATACACAGTCAAGACTATAGACCAGACTATAGTCTGTCTATAGTCTGTCTATAGTCGGATATATAGTCAAGACTATTGACCAGACTATAGTCGGATATATAGTCAAGACCATAGACCAGACTATAGTCTGATATATAGTCAAGACTATATACCAGGCTTTAGTCTGATATATAGTCAAGACTATAGACCAGACTATAGTCTATAGTCGGATATATAGTCAAGACTATTGACCAGACTATAGTCTGATATATAGTCAAGATAATATACCAGGCTTTAGTCTGATATATAGTCAAGACTATAGGCCGGAATATAGTCAAGACTATAGACCGGACTATAGTCTGATATGTAGTCAAGACTATACTCTGCTATCTAGTTAAGGCTATAGTCTGCCGTCTATATAAGACTATAGACCAGACTACAGTCTGCTGTTTAGTCAAGACTATAGATCAAACTATAGTATGTTATATAGTCAAGACTATAGATCAGTCTCGTTAATAATTTTGAAAAGTTTTAATACAATTCCATAAAAAATTTATAACAAATTCCAACAAATAAAAAACAAATAAATAAATAATTAAATTAAGAAAAAATATAAAAAAAAATTAAAAAAAATTCAAAAAAATTAAAAAAAATATTGAAAATAATTAAAAATATTGATAAAAAATCACAAAACATTGTATTTAAAAAAAATTCTAATGAAATAAAACTGAAATTTCTTTAAATATAAACAAAAAACAAACCGCCATCTTTTTATTTCAAAGCAAAAAAAGTTTACACAGGTTTCCCTCCAAAGTCAGGTCAATTGTTGTTGTTGTTACTCCTCAACAATTGCTACCGTAATTACAATTTTGTTTTGTAAACAGTAGACGGTACTACCTGCGACTGTTTTTAAAAAAAACTCTCTTTTTTCCATTCCATTTTTAATTATTTCTCTCTTAAAAATTCCTTCAAAAAGAAAATTATATAATTTTTCCTTTTCAATGGTAAGCAATTTTACAATTATAATTTTGTTTTTCTTTAAGAAATTTTGATTTTAATTTTTTTAACACTTTTTTTAGTTAATTTTTTTATTTAAATACTTTATTTAAAGTTGTTAATATTTGAAATATCCTCTTATGTAGTTATGTACTAAAAAAATTTAGTTAAAATATTTAATTAAAAACTAGAGTTGTTTTGGAACTAAATTATTGTTGTAATAGGTAATAAAGAGAGAGAGAATTTTGCTAATGTTCTTCTGATTTCTGATAAATATTCAAACTTTTGTCCGGCTGTCAGTTGTGCTAAACATTTCGGAGGTCTGATATGTTGTATGTATCCAAATAAGAAGTCAATATCGATAAAGGAAAAATAAGTCCTTAAAAACAATAATCTGATTGCCTTGATTGTTGAAAAGAAAATATTTCTTAAAGTTATTGAACGGACAATAGTCTCATCTATAGTCTTCGCTATAAACCAAGCTATAGTCTGATCTATATAGTCTTGACTATAAACCAGACTATAGTCTGATCTATAGTATTGACTATAAACCAGCCTATAATCTGATCTATAGTATTGACTATAAACCAGACTATAGTCTGATCTATACTATTGACTATAACCAGACTATAGTCTGATCTATAGTATTGACTATAAACCAGACTATAGTCTGATCTATAGTATTGACTATAAACCAGACTATAGTCTGATCTATAGTTTTGACTATAAAACAGACTATAGTCTTGACTATAAGCCAGACTATAGTCTGATCTATAGTCTTGACTACGAACCACACTATAGTCTGATCTATAGTCTTGACTATAAACCAGACTATAGTCTGATCTATAGTATTGACTATAAACCAGACTATAGTCTGATCTATAGTATTGACTATAAACCAGACTATAGTCTGATCTATAGTATTGACTATAAACCAGACTATAGTCTGATCTATATTATTGACTATAAACCAGACTATAGTCTGATCTATAGTATTGACTATAAACCAGACTATAGTCTGATATATAGTCTTGACTATAAACCAGACTATAGCCTGATCTATAGTGTTGACTATAAACCAGACTATAGTCTGATCTATAGAGTTGACTATAAACCAGACTATAGTCTGATCTATAGTGTTGACTATAAACCAGACTATAGTCTGAACTATAGTCTTGACTATAAACCACACTATAGTCTTGACTATGAACCAGACTATAGTCTGATCTATAGTCTTGACTATAAACCAGACTATAGTCTGATCTATAGTCTTGACTATAAACCAGACTATAGTCTGATCTATAGTCTTGACTATAAACCAGACTATAGTCTGATCTATAGTCTTGACTATAAACCAGACTATAGTCTGATCTATAGTCTTGACTATAAACCAGACTATAGTCTGATCTATAGTCTTGATTATAAACCAGACTATAGTCTGATCTATAGTCTTGATTATAAACCAGACTATAGTCTGATCTATAGTCTTGATTATAAACCAGACTATAGTCTGATCTATAGTCTTGATTATAAACCGGACTATAGTCTGATCTATAGTCTTGATTATAAACCAGATTATAGTCTGATCTATAGTGTTGACTATAAACCAGACTATAGTCTGATCTATAGTGTTGACTATAAACCAGACTATAGTCTGATCTATAGTCTTGACTATAAACCAGACTATAGTCTGATCTATAGTCTTGACTATAAACCAGACTATAGTCTGATCTATAGTGTTGACTATAAACCAGACTATAGCCTGATCTATAGTCTTGACTGTAAACCGGACTATAGTCTGATCTATTGTCCCGAATATAAACAAAACTATAGTCTGATCTATTATCTTGACTATAAATTTGACTATAGTCTAATCTATAGGTTTGACTATAAACCAGACTATAATCTGATCTATAGTTTTGACTATAAACCAGAATATAGTTTGATCTATTGTCTTGACTATAAACCAGACTGTAATCTGATCTATAGTCTGGACTATAAACCAGACTATAGTCTTGACTATTAACCAGACTATAGTCTTGACTATTAACCAGACTATAGTCTTGACTATTAACCAGACTATAGTCTTGACTATTAACCAGTCTATAGTCTTGACTATTAACCAGACTATAGTCTGATTCATAGTCTTGACTATTAACCATACTTAAGTTTGGTCTGTAGTCTAGACTATATGGAATACTATAGCCTGATCTATAAGTCTTAACTATAAACCAAACTATAGTTTGATCTATAGACTTGACTATGGGGAAATCAAATTTAACTATTATCGGTAATTCTTAAGAAGATTTTAAACCTCATCCAAATAGTTCTTATTTAGGGGGCAGTATAAAAGTTTTTAATTTAATATCTTTTAGCTTTATTTATTTATTTATTCTAAAATTTTATAGCAATTATTATTGTAAACCCCATGCTCCTCATAAGAAATCTGCTTTTAAACTATTAAGCTATCATTTCATTAAATTTTTCTGATTTAAAACTTTCTCCATAAAATCAACAACTACAACTATTTTTAAAGCAATAAAAAGAAACTTGGTGTTAGTTGCTGTTTTTATATGTTTTAAGCTAATTGAATGAGAAGGCTTTCAACTATTGCTATATATTAAAGTAAATGTTTAAAAAATTTTATAATTTAATTTAAAAAAAATAATTTATTTTCTTAAAATAATTTTATTTTTTAAAAAAAAATTTCTTTAAATTAGCTAAAATTGTTTATTAGTTTATTGAAAAAAATTTCTTTTAGCTTTGTTTTTGTTTTAATATTATTTATGATTTTTTTATAATTTTTATAATTTTTTATTTAAAAAAATATTTTATAATTTTAATAACAACTAATTTCTTAATACTTTCCATTAACCTATTTTATATTTTTTTCTTTCTTTCTCTTCCCCTTGCTGTTCGGTTTTAGAAAACTATTGGACCATATCGGTGAAATCGGTGACTTCCCTAAATAACATTGCTTTGGAGGAAATAAAACAGAAAAAATTTAAAAGAAATAATACATCATCTGCTACCACCAGACATTCACCCTCTACACGTGCCAGTCTGAATAACAACACTACAACAGATCTTCCTAACGATTCCAATGTTACCACATTTAACATCTCTACATCTAGCCCCAGAGCTAGTAATTCCCCGCATGTCTGTCCACGCTGTGATAAGGTCTATACGTATAAAAAGAATTTATCTCGTCATTTACGTTTCGAATGTGGCATTTTGCCTCAAGAGAAATGTCCCTATTGTGGTTATCTAACAAGATATAAACATAGTCTTAATGTTCATGTCAGGACCCAACATCCAGAATATTATAATATACAGAATAAGTCTTAAAAAAAATTAGAGCAAGGGGAGTGGTAGAAGGAATAGGAACTCGAGTTAAAAACATGTTAATATTTTAAGTAAAAGTTGGACTATTTATAGGTTCAGGGATTTGAGAAATCAGATTTTGTTAAAGATAAATAAAATTGCATTTCTAATGAAACTTTCTTAGGTTGTTGTAGTTGTAGTATATAGTTTTGACTTCAAACTAGACCTATAGTCCGATCTATAGACTTGACTATAAACCAGGCTATAGTCGGATCTATTGACTTGACTATAAACTAGACTATAGTCTGATCTATAGTATAGACTATAAACCAGACTATAGTCTGATCTATAGTATAAACTATAAACCAGACTATAGTCTGATCTATAGTCTTGACTATAAACTAGACTATAGTCTGATCTATAGTCTTGACTATAAACCACACTATAGTCAGATCTATAGTATTTACTATAAACCAGACTATAGTCTGATCTATAGTCTTTACTATAAACCAGACTATAGTCTGCTCTATAGTCTTGACTATAAACCAGACTATAGTCTGATCTATAGTCTTGACTATAAACCAGACTATAATCTGATCTATAGTCTTGACTGTAAACCAGACTATAGTCTGATCTATAGTCTTGACTATAAACCAGACTATAGTCTGATCTATAGTCTTGACTATAAACCAGACTATAGTCTGATCTATAGTCTTGACTATAAACCAGACTATAGTCTGATCTATAAACCAGACTATAGTCTGATCTATAGTCTTGACTATAAACCAGACTATAGTCTGATCTATAGTCTTGACTATAAACCAGACTATAGTCTGATCTATAGTCTGGACTATAATTCAGACTATAGTCTTATCTATGGTCTTGACTATAAACCAGACTATAGTCTGATCTAAAGTCTTGACTATAAACCAGGCTATAGTCTGATCTATAGTCTTGACTATAAACCAGACTATAGTCTGATCTATAGTCTTGACTATAAACCAGACTATAGTCTTGACTATAAACTAGACTATAGTCTGATCTATAATCTTGACTATAAAACAGACTAAAATCTGATCTATAGTCTAGACTATCAACCAGACTATAGTCTGGACTATAAACCTGACTAGAGTCTGATCTATAGTCTGGCTTATAAACCAGACTATAGTCTGGACTATAAACCAGACTATAGTCTGGACTATAAACCAGACTATAGTCTGGACTATAAACCAGACTATAGTCTGGACTATAAACCAGACTATAGTCTGATCTATAGTCTAGACTATAAACCATACTATAGTCTGATCTATAGTCTTGACTATAAACCAGACTTTAGTCTGATCTATATTCTTGATTATAAAACAGACTATAATCTGATCTATAGTCTTGACTATAAACCATATATAGTTATGACTATAAACCAGAGTATAGTCTGATCTATAGTCTAGACTATAAACCAGACTATAGTCTGATCTATAGTCTTGACTATAAACCAGACTGTAATCTGATCTATAGTCTTGACTATAAACTAGACTATAGTCTGATTCATACTCTTGACTATAAACCAGACTTTCGTATAATCTAAAGTCTGAACTATAGTCTGCTCTACTTTGTTTTAAGATTGTATAAGATATAATTTTTGATTTCCTTAATAAGTTTTTTTTAGAATAGAATCTCTTGAGTTAAAGTTCTCTTTTTATGAATTCTATTTTTTTGTGAACCTTGTAAGATACCGGATTTCTTAACGGCAGCTAATTTTTGTGTATTTATTATTAAATTAAACTATATATTTTTTTGATCTCAGGTTTAAAAGCAAATACTAAAAAAAAGTCTTTAAGAAAAATAACTTTAAAACCCTTTAATAACAACTAACAGGTAAGATTGTAATATATAAAGTTTTTTTTAAATGTAAAAAAAACACAATTAGTTATTAATTAAACGAAAAAAATTTATAATTGTTAAATAAAAAATAAAGTAAAAAAAAAAACATAAAATAAGAAAATAAATTTTTCAACAAAATGTGTATTGATTTTTATGAAAAAAAAAAAACTATAAGTATTAAAAACTAAGTTTTTTGTTCAATAATTTTTTGTTAAGCTAAAACTAACTTAAAGGTTTAAGGGGTTTATATATATGTTTTTTTTTAATTTTATATATTTCTTATAACTAAGGAAATTTGGCTTGCAAAAAAAAAAACACTCTCTTCTTTATTATCTTTAAAACAAAAGAGCAACAAACTTTTCTTGTTAAACAAATTATTAAATTTTTTTGTAAAATCTTTTTAATTAACTTCTAAACTTATGTTTTTAAATTTATAATTAGTTAAACATGATAAGTCCGAACAGACCGATATTAATCCGGATGATTTTGAATTGGATGATTGTCTCTTGGAGAGTAATGATATTGTTATTACCCAAAATAAAGATGGTTTCATATTGCATGTTAAGAAATTGGGTAATATAACAACGGCCAAGCTATCGTCACAGGATGAAGATCAAGTAGCAGCAGCGGCTGTTGCTGCCGCTACTGGGGGACATGTACAGCAGCAGTCATCTGCTCAAATTACCGAAATCCAAGAAGTTCAAGATGTTAAGCCTACATTTACTACTCTAACAACGAGTCCAGCGATAAAATTACCCTCCTCGGAATGTGGTAAGTTGCTATGAAATATATATATAAAAGAAATCTATTCGAAAGACCTATCAAATCTGACAATCCCTTCTTTATACTAATTCCTATTTTCTTGCTATATTTCCCCATAGAATTGATCAACTTAAAGAAAATCATACCAGCATCCACAACAATATCCACACATCATCCACATGCCACCATTATACAGACCCAACAAATACAACCGGCTCAATTGCAACATCAACAACATCATCAACAGCAAACCCAACAATTGCATGAAATTATACATCAACATCAGCAGCAACAACAACAAGAAACCCAACAACAGCAGCAGCAGCATCATCAACAACATCACCAGCACCAGCAGCAACAACAACATCATCAACAGCCACAGCAACAACAACAGCAGCAGCAGCAGCATCATCATCAATTACAACATCATCCCCAAGTACAAAGTATTGTTACCACCACACCCACAGCATCTGGAGCCCATTCACAAACCATCAATCTAATGGGTTTACGCAATGTACAATTAACCGATCAAAAACCCTTGGTCTCACGTATTAAATATTCTCGAGGTAAAATCATAACACCCGCCACCGGTAGTGTACAAATTGTACAAACACACGATCCACAAACTCATGAAATCACCGATGGCACTAAATATGAAATCAGTGAAATTGATTTGAATAATCCTCAGACTTCGGCGGCGATCATTAGTGATTTGGTGAAATATGCCGAAATAGATGATATAGAGCTGCCGGATGGTACAAAAATCGGTATAGGTTTTGCACCCACCGAAATTACCGAACATATGCAGTCGGCGGGTACGACGGCCCAAATTACCACACTCGAACAAGATCCAAATACGCAACAACATCATCAAATGCAAACGCATCAGATGACGCAACAGCATCATCAGTTGCAAGCTCAAGTTCATCATATACAAGCCTCACCACAGCATCAACATGCGCAGCATCATATAGTACAACAGCATCAGCAACAGACCACAACACATGTTGTACATCATCAGCAATTGCATTTACAAGAACAAGATGATAACACCACCAGTGTGGAGGCCATACTGCCCGATGGCATAACCGTGCATGAACAGCCCACTATAACCAAAAGCTATACCATCTTAACGGCAAGACCACTTAAAACCGAATCATCACATGACCTCAGTGAATTAACACATCCCTCGGCCACCACCTATGAACTATCGCTAAGTGATTCTTCGCTGGGTCCCAACGATGAACGGGGCGATGAATCGAAATATGTTTGCCGTCATTGTGGCAAGAAATATCGTTGGAAATCCACCTTAAGACGTCATGAAAATGTTGAATGTGGTGGCAAGGAACCCTGTCATCCGTGTCCCTACTGTTCGTATAAGGCTAAACAGCGTGGTAATTTGGGTGTACATGTGCGTAAACATCATCCGGATAAACCACAATTGGAGAGTAAACGTGGACGTAAGATTTAAGACGGTTAGAAGGAAATGTAATGAGTGAAAGAGTGAGTGTGTAATTGATAGATTGTTTATTTTCACGTGAGTAGAAAAATTTACTTTTTTTATTTCTCTTTTTTTAAGTTTCTTTGCAATTGACTGTCGTCACAACTTTCATTTTATAGTTTAATTTCCTTCAAGGGCTCAATTAAAAAGGGAATGAAAATATCTGTTTCATAGATCATTATAAAGTCAGAAATAGAGATCAGTCTATAGTCTTCAGTGTGAACTATAGATAGTGTGCAGTGTGAATTATAGATCACTCTATAGTCTGAACTATAGATCGCTTTATAGTCCGAACTATAGATCAGTCTATAGTCTGGTCTATAGATCAGTCTAAGTCTGGTCTATAGATCAGTCTATAGTCTGGTCCATAGATCAGTCTATAGTCTGGTCCATAGATCAGTCTATAGTCTGGTCTATAGATCAGTCTATAGTCTGGTCTATAGATCAGTCTATAGTCTGGTCTATAGATCAGTCTATAGTCTGGTCTATAGTCTGGTCTATAGATCAGTCTATAGTCTGGTCTATAGATCAGTCTATAGTCTGGTCTATAGATCAGTCTATAGTCTGGTCTATAGATCAGTCTATAGTCTGGTCTATAGATCAGTCTATAGTCTGGTCTATAGATCAGTCTATAGTCTGGTCTATAGATCAGTCTAGTCTAGTCTGGTCTATAGATCAGTCTATAGTCTGGTCTATAGATCAGTCTATAGTCTGGTCTATAGATCAGTCTATAGTCTGGTCTATAGATCAGTCTATAGTCTGGTCTATAGATCAGTCTATAGTCTGGTCTATAGATCAGTCTATTGTTTGGTCTCTAGAACAGTCTGTAGTCTGGTCTATAGATCAGTCTATAGTCTGGTCTATAAATCAGTCAATAGTCTGGTCTATAGATCAGTCAATAGTCTGGTCTATAGATCAGTCTATTGTTTGGTCTCTAGATCAGAGTGTAGTCCATAGATCAGTCTATAGTCTGGTCTATAGATCAGTCTATAGTCTGGTCTATACATCAGTTTATAGGCTGGTCTATAGATCAGTCAATAGTCTGGTCTATAGATCAGTCAATAGTCTGGTCTATAGATCAGTCAATAGTCTGGTCTATAGATCAGTCAATAGTCTGGTCTATAGATCAGTCAATAGTCTATAGATCAGACTATTGTTTGGTCTCTAGATCAGTCTGTAGTCTAGTATATATATTAGTCTATAGTCTGGACTATAGATCAGTCCATAGTTCAGTCTATAGATCAGTCTATAGTCTGGACTATAGATCAGTCCATAGTTCAGTCTATAGATCAGTCTATAGTCTGGTCTATAGATCAGTCTATAGTCTGGTCTATAGATCAGTCTATAGTCTGGTCTATAGATCAGTCTATACAGTCTGGTCTATAGATCAGTCTATAGTCTGGTCTATAGATCAGTCTATAGTCTGGTCTATAGATCAGTCTATAGTCTGGTCTATAGATCAGTCTATAGTCTGGTCTATAGATCAGTCTATAGTCTGGTCTATAGATCAGTCTATAGTCTGGTCTATAGATCAGTCTATAGTCTGGTCTATAGATCAGTCTATAGTCTGGTCTATAGATCAGTCTGTAGTCTGGTCTATAGATCAGTCTATAGTCTGGTCTATTGATCAGTATATTGTATGGTCTATAGATCAGTCTGTAGATTAGTCTATAGTCAGGTCTATATATCAGTCTATGGTCTGGTCTACAGATCAGTATGTAGACTGGTCTACAGATTAGTCCACAGATTATTATATAGTCTGGTCTATAGATCAGTCTATAGTCTGGTTTGTGTATGAGTCTATAGTCTGGTTCATAGATCAGTCTATGGATTAGTTTTTAGCATTGTCTATACATCTTTTCCTTCTTAAGGACTCGTTAATACCCTGATTCACTTTTCGTTTTAACAATTCTTTTCCCCACAGAAATTTCACTTAAAACGTGCTCTCTTATTACTCCCTGAAAAACAATTTCTTTCTCTTATAAAAATATCCCCCTAACGCGTTCACTATGGGCTCAAATTATCATCAATTGCTATTTTTATAAAATAGTAAAATTCTTCCTTTAACTTCCCTTCCCCTTAAATTCATTTACTTTTTATGTTAATTTTCTTTCCTTTAACAATAATATATTTTTAGTTTTTAGTTAAAAAAAAAAACACATTTGTTTATTTTTGTTGTTTAATTATTGATTTTTTTTAAATATAATTTAACTATTAAACTGTTATTTGTTTAAAAAACTTTTAATTTTTATGAAAATTAAAAAAAATAATAATTTATATTTTATTTTCACTACCTTTAACAAACTTTAAGTTATAATTACCAGAAAAAAAAACGGAATGTAATTTTGAAAATTACTCTTTAATCTTCAAGTTTCTTTCTATTTTTTATGAAAAAATTAAAAAAAAAAATACAAAATGTGCAAATAATATACATATAAATAAAATTTTATATATTTTCATTTTATGAAAAACAAAAAAACATTTATAATTAACAAAAAAAATATAGATTTTACTAAATAATATAATAAGATTTTATGTGCAAAATATACAAAAGAAAAATTATATATATAAAAAACATGTGTGAAAAAAAGAACAAAAAAAAAGAAAAAACAAATTAAAAGAAAAATTTACTTTATATATATTTTTAAAAATAGTAAGCAGCTTTAAAAAGTGTAATTTTAAACAAAAATGTTTTGCTTAATTTAGAAAATTATTCAAACATACAAATTATAAATTCTAAAAAAAAACATAAATTTTCTACTTTTTTAAATCTGTTTTGGTTTCTTTTGAAGGTCATCAGTTTGTAGTCAGGTTTATAGATCAGTCTTTTGTCTTTTCTTTTTTGTCTGATCTATAGATCAGTCTATAGTTTGATCTATAGATCAGTCTATAGTTTGATCTATAGATCAGTCTATAGTTTGATCAATAGATCAGTCTATAGTTTGATATATAGATCAGTCTATAGTCTGATCTATAGATCAGTTTATAATCTGGTCTATAGATCAGTCTACAGTCTGGTCTATGGATCTGTCTATAGTTTGGTCTATAGACCTGTCTATTATCTGGTCTATAAATCAGTATATAGTCTGGTCTATAAATCAGTCTATAGTCTGGTCTATAGATCAGTCTATAGTCTGGTCTTAAGATCAGTCTATAGTCTGGTCTATAGATCAGTCTATAGCCTGGTCTACAGATTAGTCTATAGTCTGGTCTATAGATCAGTCTGTAGTCTGGTCTATAGATCAGTCTATAGTCTGGTCTATAGATCAGTCTATAGTCTGGTCTATAGATCAGTCTATAGTCTGGTCTATAGATCAGTCTATAGTCTGGTCTATAGATCAGTCTATAGTCTGGTCTATAGATCAGTCTATAGTCTGGTCTATAGATCAGTCTATAGTCTGGTCTATAGATCAGTCTATAGTCTGGTATATAGATCATTCTATAGTCTGGTATATAGATCATTCTATAGTCTGGTCTATAGATCAGTCTATAGTCTGGTCTATAGATCAGTCTACAGTCTGGTCTATAGATCAGTCTATAGTCTGGTCTATAGATCAGTCTATAGTCTGGTCTATAGATCAGTCTATAGTCTGGTCTATAGATCAGTCTATAGTCTGGTCTATAGATCAGTCTATAGTCTGGTCTATAGATCAGTCTATAGTCTGGTCTATAGATCAGTCTATAGTCTGGTCTATAGATCAGTCTATAGTCTGGTCTATAGATCAGTTTATAGTCTGGTTTATAAATCAGTCTATAGTCTGGTCTATAGATCAGTCTGTAGTCTGGTCTATAGATCAGTTTGTAATCTTGTCTATAGATCAGTCTATAGTCTGTCTGTAGATTAGTCTGTAGTCTGGTATGTAGATCAGTCTATAGTCTGGTCTATAAATCAGTTTGTAGTCTGGTCTATAGATCACTTTTTAGTCTGGTCTTTAGATAAGAGTATAGATCAGTCTATAGTCTGGTGCGTATATCAGTTTATAGTCTGGTCTATAGATCATACCTTGGTCTTTTCTATAGATTAGTCTGTAGTCTGTTCAATAGATCAGTCTGTAGATCATTGTGTAGTCTGTTCTATAGATCAATCTATAGTTCGTTCTGTAGATCAGTCTGTAGTGTGTTCTATAGATTTGTCTGTAGTCTAAACTATAGATCAGTCTTTAGATCAGTCTACAGTCTATTATCTGTTCTATGAATCGATCTATTAATCTCTATACAGATCAGTCTATTGTTTGTTTTATGCATCGGTCTGTAGATCAGTATGAAGATCAGTCTATTGTCTGTTCTATGAATCAGTCTATAGACTGATCTGTTTTATATAAAACTGTTAAAAAGAACTCTACTATTCTGATTGAACCGCTCTCGGAATATTCGCGATAGTAAAAAGAAACGTTCTTTCATCCAAAAGAAAAACTAAAACAGATTTGCTTAACACATGAGATTGTCCCTTAAACCCCACTTTCTTCTTTATTTAAAAAGAAATATGAAAATTACAAAATTCATAAATGTATGTAGTAGATCTTAGATTGAAATGAAAAAAATGTATAAAGAAACCGAAATATATATATAAAAAACAGTATAGAAAAAGTTTTAATTTTTATAGAAAAATAAAAAAAAAATAAATGTAAATGAGGCTTCTTTAAATCGGTTACAAAATTTTGTTTAATATCTTTTAATTTAAAAATAAAATTGAAAAACATATTCGGCCAAGACGAAAGTAATATAAACTCCATTACAAAAATTTTAAAATTAAATATTTTGTTAAAGATTTTAATTACTAACTAATAAAATAGAAAGTTTGAAAGTAAATATCGTCCGTTATTAAATGTGTTCATTCACAATAATAGAAAATTTGAGGTTATAAACGAAATGAGAAAAACTAAGATGGAGGTTATAATAGTTTAAATTAAATATGATTTTCGAAAAAAAATTGTCCTTAATATTTCTATAAAAAACAGTTAGTAAACAAATGTTCAAATTATTTGTCTTTTTTTTAAATATAGTTTTTAGTTTAATATAAATAACAACAAAATTATTTTTGTAAAATACACAAAATTTTATAGTTTTTAAATATTTCCATTAAAATAATTTACATAAATAAATAATAAAAGTGTTTCTTTAAAAATATAAATTAAAATAAAAAAGAATAATAGCACAAGTTACACTGAATATTAACAATATAAAAAAACAAAATAAAATTGCAATTAAAAATATTATTTTTAAATTTAAAACTAAACGTTAAAAAAATAAAAAAAAAATTAAAAAAAAATAAATAAAAATCCAACTCTTTGTAAAAATCCTTTAAAAGAAGAAAAAAAAAAAAAACAACACACATACACACACAATTTATTAAAAATTAAGCAGTTAATAATAATAATTTTTATTAGAATTTACTTTATAAATGTATAAACAAAAACAAAGTATAAATCAATAAATAAAAAAAATATATAAAATAATAAAAATTATTATAAAAAATACCAAGAGTTTTATTAAAAGATAAAAAATAATTTAAAAAATTTTTGTTTTCCTTTTTCAATAATTTTTTTATATAGAATTTATACTAATATATTTTTCTTTTATTTTTACAGGTTTGACAAGGATGTTAAAAGCCATGTGGATTCAAGGAAGGAGGATCACTTTATAGAGTGATCTATAGCTCAGACTATAGTGGTAGCAGTTTATCATTTTATAGTCTGGACTGTAGATTTGTCTAGTGCCTAAACTTTTAGTTATTATTAGTCTATTATCTGAATTGTCGCTATGACTGGTCTAAAGATCAGTTTAAGATTACTCTAAAGTCTGGTCTATAGATCAGTCTATAGTCTGCGCTATAGATCAGTTTATAATATGGAAGTCTGGTATAAAGATCAGTTTGTGTATAGTCTATTGTCTGTTCTATAGATCAGTCTATAGTTTTATCTATAGATCAGTATGTAGTCTGATCAATAGATCAATTTGTAGTCTGATCAATAGACTAATTTATAGTCTGGACCATAGATCAGTATTTAGTCTGGTGTATGAAATATATAAGTCTATAGTTTGGTCTATAGATCAGTCTATAGATCAGTTTATTGATCAGTCTATAGTCTGGTCTATAGTACAGATTATAGTGCGGACTATAGATCAATCTAGTCTCTAGATTAGTCTATTGGTCAGTCTATTGATCAGCCAATAGTCTGGTTTATAGATTATAGTGCGGACTACAGATCAGTCTATAGTCTGGTCTATGGATCGGTCTATAGTTCAGATTATAATGCGGACTATAGATCAGTCTATAAGTCTGGACTATACATCATAGATAGTCTGATCTATAGATCAGTCTCTAGTCTAGTCTATAGATCAGTCTATGGTCTGGTCTTTAGATCAGTCCCTAGTCTGGTCTTTAGATCAGTCTCTAGTCTGGTCTAGAGATCAGTCTCTAGTCTGGTCTAGAGATCAGTCTCTAGTCTGGTCTACAGATCAGTCTCTAGTCTGGTCTAGAGATCAGTCTCTAGTCTGGTCTACAGATCAGTCTCTAGTCTGGTCTATAGATCAGTCACTAGTTTGGTCTTTAGATCAGTCTCTAGTCTGGTCTTTAGATCAGTCTCTAGTCTGGTCTAGAGATCAGTCTCTAGTCTGGTCTATAGATCAGTCTCTAGTCTGTTCTATAGATCAGTCTTTAGTCTGGTCAATAGATCATTTTCTAGTCTGGTCAATAGATCAGTCTCTAGTCTGGTCTATAGATCTGTCTCTAGTCTGGTCTATAGATCAGTCTCTAGTCTGCTCTATGGATCAGTCTCTAGTCTGGTCTATGGATCAGTCTCTAGTCTGGTCTATAGATCAGTCTCTAGTCTGGTCTGTATATCAGTCTCTAGTCTAATCTATAGATCAGTCTATTATCTGGACTATTGATCAGTTTTTAGTCCGGTCTATAGATCAGTCTAGAGTCTTGACTATACAACAGTCCAGTATCATCAAAATTTTACAACTATCTTTTATATTTTCCCTTAATCATTTTGTTTTCTTTCACTAATATATTTCTCTTTTTTCTAGGTTGCCTGGAAGCTAAACCGCAGCACTCCCAACATCCTTAATGTCTAAAGGACCAAATGTAAAAAAGGCAACTGTAACTATACGCCTGTTGGCAGAGGAATTGTAATTTATATTTTATTTATTTATTATTTTTTTTTTTTCTTTATTTTTTCCCCCCAATTTGTTTATGTTTTTTTTTCAAAACACAACTAAAACACACTTTTTTTTTAAAGAAATAAAACTTAAAAATTTTTAAAATTTTTTTAACAAAATTTATTTTTTTAAGTTTTAGTTGTTTCTAAAAAAAGTGTGTTAATTCTAGCAAAAAAATTTTTTTAACTGTGTGCCGCTACCCTTTTTCCCTCACATTTCCTTGAGCCTTTTTATCCCCCTTAAAAAAAAGTGCAAAAGAAAATTACACGTCAATTATTTAATTCCCTTTTTTTTTGTTTATCCTTTTTTTTTTACAAAAAAATACACCATATTTTACAATTAAAACGTGTTTTTCTTTGTTGTTTTTCTTTTAATTTGAAATTATTTCAATTTGTTTTATTTCTGTTTTTGTATATAAATTGCTTGCTTTTTGTTTAAACAGAGAACAAAATAATAAAAAAATTAGTTACAAAAAGTAATTCCGCTTATAATTTGAAATTTAATTATCATTTTTTTTTAATTCATTTTTAAAAGAAAAACGAAACTCATTTTTATTGTAAATTTTTTTATTGCTTTTATAGTTGAAAATGCATTTCATTATAAATGGGGTGAATAGATTAGAAACTTAAGACAGAAAAGTAAAGTTAAATTAGAACAAAGTTCTTTATTAAAAATTTCAACAAAATTTCTTTCGAAATTGTTACTTTTCTGCTTAATTTTCTTTTCCCCTTTTCCCCATTGGCTTTATCATTTTTCATTTTGCTCATTTTCATGCTTATTCTCACTCTCTCTCTCTAATAAATTCATTCATTCATTCCATCATCATTTCATTCATAATTAGTTTAAAAAAACTATTGTTTATATAATTTTATATGTTTAATTGGCGTTGGCATTAAAACAATAATAATTAATTTAATTTCCCCCTCTAAAAAAATTAATTAAAGAAAAAATGTTGCTTAAAGTTTTTTTTAAATATAATTTTGTTTTACCCAAAAAAAAAAAAAAAAAAATTACAAAATATTTTGAAATTTTAACAAGAAAAAAAATTGCAAAAGAAATTGTACTTAGAGATCATAATATAATACAGATCAGTCTATAGTCTGCACTAAAGAACAATCTATAAACTAGGCTATAGATCAGTATATAGTCTGGTGAATAGATCAGTCTATAGTGTTTTAAAAAGACTGATCTATAGATCAGTCTATAGCCTGGTCTATAGATCAGTCTATAGTCTGGTCTATAGATCAGTCTATAGTCTGGTCTTTAGATCAGTCTATAGTCTGGTCTTTAGATCAGTCTATAGTCTGGTCTTCAGATCAGTCTATAGTCTGGTTTATAGATCAGTCTAAGTCTGGTCTATAGATCAGTCTAAGTCTGGTCTATAGATCAGTCTATAGTCTGGTCTATAGATCAGTCTATAGTCTGGCCTATAGATCAGTCTATAGTCTGGCCTATAGATCAGTCTATAGTCTGGTCTATAGATCAGTCTATAGTCTGCTCTATAGATCAGTCTATAGTCTGGTCTATAGATCAGTCTATAGTCTGGTCTGTAGATCAGTCTATAGGCTGATCTATAGATCAGTTTATAGTCTGGTCTATAGATCAGTCTATAGTCTGGTCTATAGATCAGTCTATAGTCTGGTCTATAGATCAGTCTATAGTCTGGTCTATAGATCAGTCTATAGTCTGGTCTATAGATCAGTCTATAGTCTGGTCTATAGATCAGTCTATAGTCTGGTCTATAGATCAGTCTATAGTCTGGTCTATAGATCAGTCTATAGTCTGGTCTATAATATTGACTATAGATCAGTCTACAATCTTGACTATATTTCAGTATATAGTCTTGACTATAGATAAGTCTATAGTCTTGACTATAGTTCAGTCTATAGTCTTAACTATAGATCAGCCTATAGTCTTGGCTATAGATCAGTCTATAGTCTTGACTATAGATCATCCTATAGTCTAGACTACAGATTATTCTATAGTCCTAACTATAGATCAGTCTAGATTTTGACTATAGAATGATCTGTAGTGTAGACGATATATTATTCTATCGTCTTGATTATAGATTAGTCTATAGTCTTGACTATAGATCAGTCTATAGTGTTGACTATATTTTAGTTTATAGTGTTGACTATATATCAGTTTATAGTCTATGCTATTGATCAGTCTATAGTTTTGACTATTGGTCAGTATATAGTCTTGAATATAGATTATTCTTTATCTTAACTATAAATCATGGATCTGTCTATTGTCTTGACTATAGATCTGTCTATAGTCTTGACTTTAGATCTGTCTATGGTCTTGACTATAGATCTGTCTATAGTCTTGACTATAGATCTGTCTATAGTCTTGACTATAGATCTGTCTATAGTCTTGACTATAGATCTGTCTATAGTCTTGACTATAGATCTGTCTATTGTCTGGACTATAGATCTGTCTATAGTCTTGACTATAGATCTGTCTATAGTCTTGACTATAGATCTGTCTATAGTCTTGACTATAGATCAGTCTATAGTCTTGACTATAGATCTGTCTATTGTCTGGTCTAAAGATCAGTCTACAGTCTTGACTATAGATCTGTCTATTGTCTTGACTATATATCAGTCTACAGTCTTGACTATAGATCATTTTATGGTCTTAACTATAGATCAGTATATAGCCTTGACTATAGATCAGTTTATAGTCTTGTCTATAGATCAGTCTATAGTCTTGATTAAAGATCTGTCTATAGTCTTGACTATAGATCAGTCTTTAGTCTTGACTATAGATCAGTCTATAGTCTTGACTACTGATCAGTCTATGGTCTTGACTACACATCAGTCTATGGTCCTGGCTACAAATCAATCTATGGCCTTGACTATAGAGCACTCTATAATCTAGACTATAGTTCAGTCTATAGTCTTGAATATATATCAGTCTGTAGTTTAGTTTGGTCTGTCTATAGTGTGGTTTATAATTGTTTCGAAAAGTCTTCGATACATGTATTTTCAAAAATATTTTGTAATTTTTTTTTCAAATTAATTTGTTTATTATTTCTTTTTTTTATTTAAGTATTTGTCCTTTAAGTTTTTACATTTTATTTTTATTTATTGTGTTTCTTTTTTTTCTTTTTTCCTTCTTCTTTTTTTTTTTTTTGAATTTGTGTTTATTAATTATTGAAAAAAAAACAACAACCAACACTACTTCAAACAACGTGGGATTCAAACAAAAAATTTACGTTAAAAAATCTGAAAAAAAAAATAAAACTAAAAACTTTTAATTTGTTATTGCAAAATGGATTTTTATTAAAAAAATTTACCTACATATATAAACACAAATCTACAGATTTAAGTATTACACGTATAGCGGGTCTAACTTGGAATGAATGGAATGCCCGTTTGGCTATGCCTTTAGTAACACAACTACGTGAAGGTGTACATCCCTTAGTATTTCCAACCGATCTGACAATGGAAAAGGGTGGTGTTGGCAATGGTGTGGGCGGTTCTAAGGATATATGTAAAATTGAACGTAAATCACCGATAAAACGACCTTCCCTTTTGGCTTCACCCACACCCTCTAATAATGATTTAAGCGAACAGGGGGCCACAAGTACCCCATTGAATTGTTCGTCGGCCAGTGATAAGGATAAAACACAAACGACTTGCGGTGGAGGCGGTGAAAAAATTAAACATTTCACCGAAGAAGAGGCTACGGTGTTAATGTTAAAAGCAGCCGCCGAGAAATCAGCTCAGGCGGCCAATAATAGTGGTAATCTCAGTGATAACAGTTATACCGATGACAATACTACTGGTAATCTAAGTGGTGGTAATGGCCCCGGTTCAGGGGCTGATTATCACTCGGCCTTTGCCGATGTTAGTGGAGCCACGGGTATAAGTCTTAATATTTTGAATAGTATCAATGCCATGAGCAATCTAATAAGTGGTGGTGCCGGCGGCAATGGTGGCCTTAGTTTAGCCAGTGCTGCGGCCTTGGGTGTGGGTGGCTCTGGCAATGGTGCTGGTCATCCTTGTCCAGAGTGTGGTCGTGTTTATAAGCTGAAATCATCATTGCGCAATCATCAAAAATGGGAATGTGGCAAAGAGCCACAATTCCAATGTCCCTTCTGTGTGTATAGAGCTAAACAGAAAATGCACATTGGCCGTCATATGGAACGTATGCACAAGGAAAAGTTTTTCAAAATTGAAGATTTAAAAAGTTTCACCACTGCCACTGTAGGTGCTCAAATAGCTGGTTCTAGTGTAGGTGGCGGTGGTGGTGGTGCGGGTGCGGGTGGTGGTGATGAGTCATCATCTACAGCTGTAGCTGAATTGCGTCAACATTTCTCGTAAGAATTATATAGTTTTACCATTTCCTTAAGCAAATGGTAAAAAAGGCAAGATTTATATATTAATATTTTTTTTTATACAATTTTATTTTAATTTTTTTTTTAATTAATTTAAATTAGTTTTACCATATTAAGCTTAGCAAGAGAGAGATTTTTTTTATATCAGGGAATATATAAATAATTTATTTAAACGAAAAAGAAAAAAAAAACGTATTAACAACAAAAGTTTAACAGAAGAAATTCTGAAATTCTAAACTAAATGCAACCGTTAAAGGAATATGTATATGGTGGGAAAGCTTTTATACATATTATTGTAAATACACTACCATTTTTTTTGTATAAACAAATAAAAAACAACAATCAGGGTTCATTAAAACAAACAAAAAAAATTCTAATCACATTAGTAGCTGTTATAGAAAAAAAAAACGATAGAAATATGTGAAATATGGAAACAAGTGTGCCAAATTTTTTTAATTATTTTTTTTAAATAATAATTGTTAAACCATAATTTATTTTTTATATATTTTTTTTTTACTTTAAAACAAAGTAAAATTGCCCTTAAAAAAAAGACAAAAAAAAACTCAACGATTCCCTAATGCCATTTATAATTCCAGCAAATTGTTAAATTTTACACTTTTTTTTAAATATAAAATAAATATTATAATAATTTTGGCATTCCTCCTTAAAACTTAAAAGACAACTTTGCAAAATGATATTCCATTTTATTTTAATTATAGCAAATAAGTTACAACAATTCCCTGCCCTAAGCTAAACATACGAAAGCCGGTTTTTCGATTTATGTTCTAACAAATTCGAATTTCTATTATTATTAAAGGCTCGAGTTCGAGTCCCACAAAAAAAATTTTTTGCTCAAACATTTCACCACAGCCTTTATTTAAACTCCATAGTTGTTTTTTTTTTAACAAATTCCACCCCCTCAAAATATTGCAACATTATAATTCTCAGCGGATATTTTTTGAAAAACTTTAAAAGCTTTTGCTATATCAAAAAAAAAAAAAAAAAAAACTTTTTTTTTTTCATAAATATAAAGGCAATATTATAGGTTTAGGTTTAATTAATATTATTATCATGGCTTAATTAATTTTAAATTATTATTATTATAATGTTAAACTACAGTTTACGAAAAAAAAAATCCTCATAAATGCAACGAATTCAAATTAAGAGAAAATATTGATAACCAATCGAGTCATTAATTGAAAGTTAGTTAAAAACAAAATATGTTAAAAAGAAAACAAAATATAATCAACAATAAGGTTAAACTATAAAGCTAGAGAAATGAAGAATTCCAAAATTAAAGTCTGGGCTAAAGATCAGTCTAGGCTAGATATCAATCTATTAACTTGATTATAGATCAGTCTATTGTCTGAGCTATAGGTCAATCTATAGTCTTGACAATAGATCAGTATATGGTCTTGACTATAGATCAGTCTATAGTCTTGACTATAGATCAGTCTATTATCTTGACTATGGATCAGTCTATTGAGCTATAGATCAGTCTATTGTGTTGACTATAGATCAGTCTAAAGACTTGACTATTGATCAGTCTATAATCTTGACTATAGATCAGTCTATAGTCTTGACTATAGATCAGTCTACAGTCTTGACTATAGATCAGTCTGTAGTCTTGACTATAGATCAGTCTATAGTCTTGACTATAGATCAGTCTGTAGTCTTGACTATAGATCAGTCTATTGTTTGAGCTAAGATCAGCATATAGTGTTGACTATGGATCAGTCTATAAACTTGACTTTAGATCAGTCTATAGTCTTGACTATAGATCAGTCTATATTCTTGACTATAGATCAGTCTATAGTCTTAACTATAGATCAGTCTTCAGTCTTAACTATAGATCAGTCTATAGTCTTGACTATAGATCAGTTTATAGTCTTGACTATAGATCAAACTACAGTATTAACTATAGATCAGTCTATAGTCTTGACTATAGATCAGTCTATAGTGTTGACTACAGATCAGTCTATAGTCTTGACTTTAGATCAGTCTATAGTATTAACTATAGATCAGTCTATTGTCTTAACTATAGATCAGTCTATAGTCTTGACTATAGATCAGTCGATAATCTAGACTATAGATCAGTCTACAGTCTTGATTATAGATCACTCTATAGTCTTTACTATAGATCTGTCTATAGTATTGACTATAAATCAGTCTATAGTCTTGACTATAGATCAGTCTATATTCTTAACTATAGATCAGTCTATAGTCTTGACTATGAAACAGTTTATAGTCGGGGCTATTGATCTGTAGACAGTCTAAAGTCTGGGTTACAGATCAATCCAGAGTCTATACTACGGATCAGTCTAGAGTCTAGACTAAAGATCAGTCTATAGTCTTGGCTGTAGATCAGTATATAATCTTGACTATAGATCAGTCTATTGTTCGAACTATAGATCGGTCTATAGTTTAAAATGTAGATCAATCTATTGTCTTGGCTAAAGATCAGTCTATAGTTTTGACTATAGATCAGCCTTTAGTCTTGACTATAGATCAGTCTGTATTCTTGACTATAGATCTGTCTATAGTCTTTATTACAGATCAGTCTATAGTCTAGACTATAGAATAGTCTATAATCTCGACTATAGATCAGTCTATAGTTTGACTATAGAGCAGTCTATAGTATTGCCTATAGATCAGTCTATAGTCTAGGCTATAGAATAGTCTATATTCTTGACTATAGATCAGCCTATTGTCTTTACTAATGATCACTTGATAAGACTATAGATCAGTCTATTGTCTTGACTATAGATCAGTCAATAGTCTTGACTATAGATCAGTCAAAAGTCTTGACTATAGATCAGTCATTAGTCTTGACTATAGATCAGCCAATAGTCTTGTCTATTGACCAGCCCTTAGTCTAGACCATATATCAGTCCAGAGTCTTGATCAGTTAATAATCTGTACGATATCATTAAAATTCAACTTCTTCAATACTCTCTTTGCTCTTTTTAAAGTGACATACCACAACAACAACAACAAAAAATCAACATAAAATACCTCAAATTAATAAGAAATCTAAAAATTATGCTCAAATAAAAAAAATAAAATTTTCAAAAAAAAAGAAAAATATCTATAATTAAGCTTTAAAGCATTCCAATTTATTACTTTAACATTTAAGCAAAATTTCTTTAAAGTGCCTTTAGACAAAAATAAAATTAGTTTTTAAGAAAAACTTAAAAAAAAACGACATTAACTTTAAAAAAGTCTCAAAATTAATCTAAAACAAAGTTTCGAAAAAAGCAATAATTCTAAAAAGAAAGAAATTAACTCTACAAGAAAAAAAAGAAAACTTGAAAAGTTTTTACAACAATTTTACAATATTTGACTTCAAAAGTTTCTATACACAAGCAAACACTTTTAAAGTTGTAAAGATACAAAAGAAAAAGACGATAATTCCATTATATAATTCCAAATTGTTTTTTGAAATATTTTTTTACTCTTATTCAGGTTTAAATTTTAAATTTAAATTAAAAAAAAAATTATTGTTAATTTCTCTGTTTACTTTTTCAAAATTCTTTTTTTATATAAAAAACCAAGTCAAAGGCAAATAATTTTACAAAAACGGCTAAGCCGTTAATTATGCTCTTCTTTTAATACAAAATTTTTAGAAATTTCTTAAGTTCACCTTAACAAAATTTTATATATTTAATAGTTTATCCAAACCTGTCTTCCCTTTTTTTATTATTAAATAATTTCCATTAATGTTTTCATATTTCCCACGATTTTCCTTATAAAGTTTTGAAGAGTATAATTTTTGTTTTATATTTTTTGACTTGGCAAAATTTGCTAAACAAATTAAAAATTTGTTGTAATTTATAACACATTAAAATTTTCTTAACAAAAAGTTTTTTTTTTTAATTTTAAATTTTTTTTTATAATATTGAACATTTAAACGAAAGCCATACATATTTATAATTTTAAGAAATACAAGTTTTAGTTAAGTTAATTAAAAAAATTATATATTTATATAAATTAAACAAAAAAAAAAAAAACAACATAATGAAAAACAAAACCTCAGGTACTTAGTTTGTGTTAAAGAAATTTAAATATTTTATATACAACATATATTTATATATATAATATAATATTTTATTATCACAAAAATTCCCTTAAGAAAATAATTTCCCTAAATCTTATTTATTAAAATATTTATGTTTATTTTTTTATATACAAATTCCATATAAGAAAAAAGCTGTGCTTTTAGAAAAGAAAACATTTTTCTCAATATATTTTTTTTTTATATTTAAAGAAGTGTGTTCAGGGAAAAGTTTAAGGCAAGAGTAATGACGAGGGAGATGGATGTTAAGGAAACCCTGGTTCTTAATAAACAGTAGGTTATGGGAATTTTTGTACATTTTTTTTTCCAATTACTTAACATCACAAAGAGTTTTTGACCCCAACGTGGGTGGGTACCTACCTTTTCAGAATTTAAGACTTAAAACGGTTTATCTGCTGTAGACCCTTTAAAATTTTAAGAATTTTTTTAAATATTCAGATTTTTTTCTTTTTTAAGGAGAATGAAGAATTCGCGGAATATTCGTGATAACAAATGCACATCATTGATTCGCGAAAGGGGTGAATATATAGATTGTAGGCTAGCCTATAGATTCAACTATGGACTAGAATATAGACTAGACTATAGACTAGACAATTGACTAGACTATAGACTAGACTATAGACTAGACTATAGACTAGACTATAGACTAGACTATAGACTAGACTATAGACTAGACTATAGACTAGACTATAGACTAGACTATAGACTAGACTATAGACTAGACTATAGACTAGACTATAGACTAGACTATAGACTAGACTATAGACTAGACTATAGACTAGACTATAGACTAGACCATAGACTAGACTATAGACTAGACTATAGACTAGACTGTAGACTAGACTGTAGACTAGACTGTAGACTAGACTATAGACTAGACTATAGACTAGACTATAGACTAGACTATAGACTAGACTATAGACTAGACTATAGACTAGACTATAGACTAGACTATAGACTAGACTATAGACTAGACTATAGACTAGATTATAGACTAGACTATAGACTAGACTATAGACTAGACTATAGACTAGACTATAGACTAGACTATAGACTAGATTATAGACTAGACTATAGACTAGATTATAGACCAGATTATAGGCCAGACTATATACTAGACTATAGACTAGACTAAACTCTAGACTATACACTAGACTAGACTATACACTAGACTAGACTATACACTACACTAGACTATTGACTAAACTATAGCGTAGGCTTTAGCCTAAAATATAGACTAGACTATAGGCTAACCTATAGACTAGACTAGAGACTAAACTATATACTAGAGAAGAGACTAAACTAGACTAGACTGGAGACTAAACTATAGCTTAGACTAGATTGTATACTAGATTATATACTAGATTATAGATTAGACTACAGCCTAGATTACAGACTAAACTATAGCCTAGACTAGACTCTAAACTGTAGACCTAATTGTAGATTAAACTATAGACTACACTATAACCTAAACTATAGACTGTAGACTAGACTTTAGCCTAGACTGTATAATAGACTATATATACTAGACTATAGACTAGACTATAGCCTAGACTATAACCTATACTATAGACTAGATTATAACCTATACCATAGACTACTCTATAGATTACACTATAAACTAAACTATAGACTAAACTATAGACTAAACTATTGACTAGACTGTAGACTAAACTACATATTGATTATAGACCAAACTATATTCTAGACTGAGACTAGACTAAAGCCTAGACTATAGCATAAACTATATACTATATTATAGAATAGAGTTAACCTATAGTCTAGACTACAGCTTATAATATGGACTTAACTACAGATTAGACTATAAAGTTCTCTCTCAAATTCCTCTCCTAACATTCCATACTCTCTCAGTCTCTTTAACTTTGCTAATCCCTTACCTTGAGCACAAATAAATTTTTGATCAACCAACACGTCACAAATACATAGTTTTCAAATAATTTTTTTTTTATATACATATATACAAACATATATTTAAAATAATTTAATATTTTTTTTAATATATATAAAATATTTATTTATTAAAACAAAATAGCCCTTAATTTATTATTATTTAAATAATTTTTCTCTTAGGAACTGCAACTTTTTAAACATTCCACTTAAAACAAAAAAAAGACAAACTAGAAAAACTAATTTTTTTTTAAAAATAAATATTTTTCTTTACAAAAAAATAGTATTTTTTTCCACATACAATAGTTCAAATAATGTTTAAAATAATTAAAACAATTATATTATATACTCTCTTTTATTTTTTCAACTATAATGTTTAACTATAATTTTTTTTGTTATAATTTTTTAAATAATTGTAATTGGTTCTAATTGGTGTTGGGCTTACAAAAAAACAAAAACAAAAAAAAACATTTTTTTATAACTATATATATATATTTTAAATATAATAATTTTAAATGTTACAAAAAATAAAAAAATAAATAAACTTTAAAAAATTATTTAAAACAAAAAATTTTTTTTGCTACAATTTTAAAGAAAATTTCTTTTTATTTGTTTTTCTTTTTATAATATTTTAAAAAAATACTCATAACGCAAAAGCAACAACAATCTTTAGTAAAATAAGTTTTTTTTTTAATAATTTTCCTCTCCCCCTTATATATTTTTTTTATTATTATTATTATACTTATTATTATTAATTTTTATATGTAAAAATGTAAAAAAATCCCCCCCAAAAAAAATTTATTATTGTATAATAAAGTTATAAAAAAAAAAACAAAAAAAAACTTGGAAAATTTTGTATTAATTATTATAAAATTAAGTGCCCAGACTTTTTATAATTTCCTTTTTTTTTTTAATTTTGTTTAGCTTTACATTTTTTTTATAATTTATATTTTTTTGTAGCAATTTAGTTCTTTTTTTTTCTCTTTTAATACAACACAAACAAATCAACACCTTTACACTTACATATTTATTTTTTTGTTTAAAAGTAAGTAAAACTCAATTTTTTTATTTAATCTTTTTTTTAATTATAAAATTTTTTTGTTAAATTTCAATTTGCTTTTTTTTAATATTTTTGTCCGTCTTTTTTATTTTGTTAAAATGTCCTTTTTTTATTTAAATATAACTCAAAAACTCTCTTTACTCTCTTTAAACTCTAAAGAAATGCTCTTCAAATAAAGTAATTTGAAATTTTTCAAATAAAATCCATTTTAAACTCAAAGAATTTTCTTAATTGTAACTAAAATAATCTTTCAAATTCTTTTTTTATCTTTTACTAATTCGTTTTCTTCTTTTTTCTTTTCTCCTTTTCTAGTTGATTTACAAAATGATTCTCAAAATCAAGGTCTTACTACGAATACAACATCATCATCTTCGGCCCAGCAAGAGTCTCGCATTCGCGTACGCAATTGGTTAATGTTGGCGGATCAATCGATTTTGGAAAAGAATTATAACGATGGCAGCTCTGGTGAGTTGAGCGATAATTGTTAGTTATTAAAGTTCTTTTAAAATCTATTTTTATTAATTTTTTTTAAATATTGTTTTATTATTTTTTAATTTTTTTTAGTTTTAAGTTAATTTTATTTATAATTTCATCAAAAAGTTTGAACAAAAAAGTGATTAGTATTCACTAACGATCAAATTGATTCTGGCATTCTAATCATTTATTCTCTTAATAAGCAAAAAGAGAACCTTGACAGATATCGGCAAAGGACTCACACTTGAATAGAAACTGAACTAAATCAATCAGAAAGCTAAATTTTAATTCTCAGCTGATCTCTGTTCTTAGCACTTTTAAAAGATATTCTTTTCATAAGCTTAGAAAGAATAGAGAACACGGATTTAAAACAGATATCGACAAAGCACTCTCTCTCTTGATTTTAACCCTACTCACACTTGGATAAAAAGTGAACTAAATCAATCAGAAAGCACAATATTAATTCTCAGCTGATGACTGCTTTTTGCTCTTTTTAAAGATATTCTCTCAATAAGTTTAGAGAGAATAGAGAACACCGATTTAAAAACAGATATAGGCAAAGAACTCTCTATTGATTTTAAAACTACTCATACTTGGCTAGAAAGTGAACTAAATTAATCAGAAAGCACAATTTTAATTCTCAACTGATGTCAGCATTTTGGCACTTTTAAAAGATAATAATCTTAGAGAGAATAGAGAACTTTATATTAAAAACAGATATTGGCAAAGTACTCTCTATTGACTTTAAACGTAGTCACACTCAGTTAGAGAGTGGACTAAAACAATCAGAAAGCACTAATGTCAGCTTTTTGCACTCTTATAAGATAAGCTCAATAAGCTTAGAAAGAGAGAGAGAGATTACTGATTTAAAAACAGATATCGGCAAAGAACTCTCTCTTACTTTTGTCCATACTCACACTTGGATATAAAATAAACTAAATCCATCAGAAAGCATAATTTTAATTCTCAGCCGATGTCTGTTTTTTGCACTTTTAAAAGATATTCTTTCAATAAGCTTAGAGAGAATAAACCTTAAAACAGATATCGACGAAGAGCTCTCTCGTGAAATCTCTTGCTTTCAAACGTACTCATAATTGTATCAGAAACCAATCAAAAAGAAAATATTTATACTATGCCGATGCCTGCTTTTTATACTCATCCAATATTCCCTTAATATGGAGAGAGAGAGAGAATCCTGACTTTAAAATTGATAAAGGCCAAAAGCTCTCCAGTGAGTTCTCTTGCTTTCATACGTAGTATAGAACATGTTTACTCTATGTTGATGTCTGCTTTTTTGCACTAAAATCCGATATTCTCTAAATAAGAAGAAATCAAATTTCGGCAAAGAGCTTCTAAGAAAGCTCACACCTTTATAGAACACAAACGAAATCCATTAGAAAGCTTTGGTTTTTACTCTCTGATTAAGAAGTCTGAAGCGTTGTGCCTACGGTCTTAGAAAGACAGATTAGATTTTAATGTTTTAAGAATCTTGTGGAAATTATTTTAAAAAGGAGAGAGAGAGATAACATCGACTTTAAATGAGATATATCTCTTTTTTGACTCTCTGCTTTCGAAATTCAAAATACAGAAGTCTAAAGGGTTCTGCAGTCTCATAAAGACTGAGATTTATATACTTTTAGCCCTCATATCGAATATTGGCTTAAAGAAAAGCAAGTATATTGGTTAAAAAGAACCAAAACTCTCTAACAGATATCGACAAAAAGCTCCCTGAACAAAAGCTCACACATTTAAAGAAATAAACAAAGCAATCAAAATGCGCCTCTTTCACTTTCCTTCGATGCCGGCTTTAAAAATACATAGTCTGGAACTAAGAAAAACCTCTTTTTCGCTCTGTCGCTGCCTGTTTTCAAAATGCTATCTTAAAAAGTCTGAAATCTTAGAAAGACCGATATTTTGATCAATCTTTCACAACTCATTTAATAACTGACAAATTTTTACTTTATTTTCTATTATGCTCTTAAAGAAGAGCATGGAGTTTGTTTAAAGGATCCAGTACTCTCCAACAGATATTAGCAAAGTGCTTACTCGTGAGCTCCCTTGCTTACAACTTGTACGTAAGCTCTCTACCGATGCCTACTTTCAAATTAAAGAAGTCCCGAACGATCTGCAGTCTTCTATAGTCCGATATTTTTCCCATATTGCAGAGTTCCTTTATTCTCTTAAAGAAGAGTATTTAGCTGGTTTAAAGAGAAATATGACTTTCAAATAGACTTCGGCAATAAGCTCTTCCGTGAATTCTCTTGCTTTCTCGCGTTTGTAAGCTCTCTATTATATAAAATATAAATATAATCATAATCAGAGAGCAATTTTAACATTCTCTGCCGACAGCCGCTTTAACATTTGAAGTGGAGATGAATCACTTTTCGGTGATCGATAAGTTTTTCCACTTTTATGGGATATACTCTCAAAATTGAATCCTAAATTTGCCGATATCTATGGTAAAGAGCTCTCTCACGATCTCTGAAAGTTTCACGTGTAAGAAAAGCTTATTAAAAAGCGAAATAGAAAAGTCTGCCGTGTACTTTATATGTCAAAATAGAACACTGAATTTGAAACAGATATCGGAGAGTGCTCTCTCGTAATCCTTTATAGTTTCATTCGTAAGCAATCTCAAATTTGCTAGTTTTTTACTCTTTGCCGATGACTGCTTTGGAATTGTGAAATATAAAAGTTTAGAGCTTTCTTTCTCTACCATATGTATGGGTAAAACTTTGGCAAACTTTCTTGGATATATACCTACAAAGAGTTTCTTGAAAAGTTCCCTTATTTTTTCCTTATTATTTACATTTAAAGAACTGCTTTAGTTTTAGGACTTAAAATCAATAAATCTAGAAAGATATTTAAAAGATCTGGCATCCTTATATATAAAGAATATTAACATTTATACAAAATTTACAAATATTTTTAATTTAATTTTAATTTATCTTGTTAATTACTTATTTTTAAGTTTATAATTTAATCTTCTTCTCTTTCAGTTTTATCATTTGTTTTTGTAACAATTATATTTTTTTTATAATAATTTTTTTCTATTACAGTTTTTTTGCTTTTCATTTTCCTCCCCAAAAAAGTATTCTACAAAATTTCTTTATTGTTTTTGTTTTCTACACTTTCTAAACTTCAGCTGTTTTGTTTTGGTTTTATCTTTTGTTACACTTTCCTTCAAAAGATCTTTAACTCAAATCCATAAGAAAATTGATAATATGAAAACTAACTGTAATTTTCCCCCCTTTTAATAAATTCTCTTTTCACGCTTCAAAATATGAAAATAAAAACAAAAAACAAAATAACAACTACAAAAACTAAAACTAACAAAATAATCCAAATAATTACTAATAATTAGTAGAACAACAATTAACCAAGAATAACAACAATACCCTGATAACGTCCAATTCCAATGCTACTAATAATAACAACAACAACAACACAACTGGTTTAGTTGTTAATCCTTCGACAAATGCTGTTACTGCTACCACTACTAATACAAATCTTAACCTAACCACACAAAATACACCCACAATACAACGTATTGGCAGCATTGGACGCACCACCATTACTTGCATTACCCCGGCTGGTGGCGATGCTACGGCCACTAATCCTCAAGCTGCTTTGGCTGCCGCTGGTGTTGAATTGGATGCAGTGGATGATAATAATAGCATGACTGAGGTGGTGGTTAAAATTGAAAATTCTGCCACATCCTCCCAAGACGAAGATGAAGAAATGCCCGATGAGGGCGATGATGCGCCCACCACTGAAACCAATGAAGAGGAAGAGGAAGGTGATATGAACTATGATGATATTAAACTCTCTAGTCCCATGATGTGGGCCATTGATAGTGTTAAAATCGAACAGGAAGAAGAATTTGAAGATATTTTAACCGCTGGATTTGATAACACCACCACTTCGTTGGACAATGATGATGAGTTCTTACAAACTGTACCTTCTGTTAGTATGGGCAATATGTCCGGCGACATGGACCTGCAAAAGAATCGTGTTTTGGTGGCTAAGAAACGTGTCTCGTTGGAAACTCTGAAGTCACTTAATAAACATCCGGGTAAAAATCAATCTTATGTAACACAAATCGAACTGCAAGATCCTCAAGAGCTGCTGGAGAAACATCAACATTTCCAGAAGTTACGTTTGCAGCCCAATCAACCGGTGCAAATTAAATTGCGCTCCATACCAGCCACCATAACCAGTATACAACCCAAAATGGCGGGCTCAGTAGCTCCGCCACTTGCTCCTCTATCCACTTTAAAAGCCGGTATGTCTGACATGAAACCCGGATCTTCAAATTCAAATGTCGAATTCAAATCCACCATTTCCGAAGATAGACGCTATCGCATGATTACCCAAAATCAACGCACCCGTAAAGAATCTCTAGAACATTCCGAGGATATGATCTACAATGCGGACATTGAAAAACCCTGGGTGTGTCGCAACTGTAATCGCAATTACAAATGGAAGAACAGTCTTAAGTGTCATTTGAAAAATGAATGCGGTCAACCGCCTCGTTATTTCTGCAGTAAACTGTGTGGTTATGCCACCAATGTACACAGTAATCTCAAACGTCACATGAATACCAAATGTCGTGAACGTACCGAGGAAGATAATCAAATGTTATTGCAACAGGTACAAGTGCAACAGCCTCAATTGGTACATCAAACCAAGTCTTTAACCAACACCACCAATACCAATGCAACGATAACAACCTCAAGTTGTGGCAATATCAGTACTCTTTCAGCCGCAGGAACACTTCTACCAGCAGCAACCAATAATAATAATGGCATCAATAGCATTACATCGAGCAACAGCAGCAACAACAACAACACCACCACCACTACATCCACTTATACTTTGGTCTTTCAGAAGAGCGAATAGAAATTGGAAAATTTGAGGGAGAAAGTTATACAATTATTATATGACAAAACTTTAGAGAGCAGTAGTCGTGACAGTTGTTTAGTTCAGGAGGAGTCATTGGCGGAGGTTAATGTTAAGAGTAGTAATGGCGTTACGACACTGAGTATGTATGGTCAAACTGAGTAAATTGTTGTTAAAGTAAAGTTTAAGCAAGAAATATGTAGAAGAAGTTTTAAATAACTTTTTATCCGCTCTCACTGTGCTCCCTCAATTAAAGTGAGAAATTTTCAGTGCAATTTTTTTTAAATTGAAGTTTTTTTTTTGTTTTATGAAAGAAAATGTGTGAATTTTATTTAAATTTTAAAATTATAGGTTTTTTGTTGAAATTTGTTTTGTTTTTTATGTTTTTTATTACAAAAATTTATTCAAAATTCTTAATGTTTCTTAATTTTTTAAAAATAACGGTTAAAAGGTTAACCGTTAAAGCTTGCATTTGTCTTATAAGTTATAAAAGTTTTGTTATCATATGATTTGTTTCCCGGCAATTCTAAATTTTAAACTATTTTAATATGGTTAATATAGGTACTACAGATCCAGGAGGTCTCTGCCTATACACTAAAAAAGAGTAATCCGTGTTCGTATCAATCCAGATCAGTTTCGATTCTACCGCAAGTACGATAATATCCGAATCAAGTACTAATCAGTCAAGTACGAAAGACTTTTTGAAAATTTTAAATATTTTTTCTTAGATTTTCTAATTGTTATAAAAAGTATAACAGTTTTACATATTTAGTTGATCTACAATTACATTCTGCATGTTTGAAAACACAAATTTCAGATTACGAAACTGTTATACAGACATTTTTATAAATTTAATGATTTTTATTAAAGTTCTAATTCATGATAATTTGAAATGCTTTCTAAATGTTATAAAAATATAACACATATAGCGTTTTATAACAGTTTAAAACATTTAGATTTACTTAAGTAACTAACTGCTTGTTTGAAGACAAAAATTTTATTATTACAAAACTGTTATACGGAAATTTCATAATAAAATTTTGAATGCTTTCTATATGTTATAAAAATATAACACATATAACGTTTTATAACAGTTTTAAACATTTAGATTTACTTAAGTAACTAACTGCTTGTTTAAAGACAAAAAATTTGTTATTACAAAACTGTTATACAGAAATTTCATAATACAATTTTGAATGCTTTCTATATGTTATAAAAATATAACACATATAACGTTTTATAACAGTTTTAAATATTAAGATTTGCTGCCTGCTTGTTTGAAGATAAAAAATTTGTTACTACAAAACTGTTATACAGAAATTTTAATAAATTTTATAATAAAATTTTGAATGCTTTCTAAATGTTATAAAAATATAACACATATAACGTTATATAACAGTTTTAAACATTAAGATTTGCTTAAGTAACTGTTTGCTTGTTTGAAAACACAAATTTCTCAAAACTGTTATACAGAAATTTTAATTTTAAGACTATTTTATGAAAATAATAAATATTCTCAATTTTAATAAAAAATAAAAATAAAACACATATAACAGTTTATAACAGTTTTAAACATTAAGATATTCTAAAGTAACTGCACGATTGTCTTAAGACACAATTTGTTTTACTACAAAACTGTTATACTGAAATTTCAAAAAATTTTCTATTTTAATTCCATGAACTATTTTATGGAACGTTTTTCCAATTTTTACAAAATTATAACAGTTTTAATAGTATATAACAGTTCATATACTATGTAGATTTTCTAAAGTAACTTCCTTTTAGTTTAAAAGTTCAAATTTGTAATTTCGAAACTGTTATACCAATGTTTAAAACATCAATTAATTGTATTAGAATTCTAAGAAGGTTTTTGAAATTTTATAAAAATAAAACAGTTTTTAAACACTTAAGTATTTGTTTGATAACCAAAATTTTGAATTTCAAAAATGTTCTAAATTAAACAAAAGCTTGTCTGAAGAGATAAATTGCAAAACTGTTATACTGAAGTTGATTAAAATTATTTATTTTAAAGTTTGAAAGTTTATCTTATTAAAATGTTTAATATTTCCTTAACATATAATGGATTTAAATATTAAAATACTCGAAACCCGGTTACTTGGTTCTGCAAGAATTAAATTTATAATTTCCAAACTGTTATACTAAAATTTTTTTAAAAATTTAAACAAAAATCAAGTATAGAGTGTGTTTAACATATATTTGTTTATACAGTTTGAAATAAATTTCAATAGTTGCAGTTATAAAACAGCAAAAAATTTGAAACTGTTATACTTGTATTACAGTTACTTTCAAAAAAGATTAATTATAACTATTCAGGTATATGTTTGAATTATTCGAAATTTTTTAACAAAGATTTTCATATTTTATAATAATTTGTTAAAGATTTCGATTTTGGAAACTGTTATAAAAACTGTTATATTTTTATAACAGTTCTTTTGAAAACAGCTTAATTATAATAATTCAATTATGTCAAGTTATGTTTTAAGCCGTACGCTTTAAAAATTTCACAATTTATAACACTTTTGAAAACTGTTATAATGGTATAACAGTTATTTTAACAATGTAAATTGTTTAGAAATCTTTAATGACATATTTTTATTATAAATTCTTTATAAACTTTTGAATATTTCAAGTTATTTAAAATTTTTGCATTTTTAATCTGTTATAATTTTTATAACAGTTATTTCAAAAAGGCTTAATTTTAATAATTTAAACATTTGAACTTATTTTTAAAGAAATATGTTAAATATTAAAACTGTTGACAACAATTTTTAAACTGTTATACTAGTTAATATCTTTCAAAAACTGTTATATTTGTTTCTTAAAAAACCATAATTATAGCCCTTCAATCATTTGTAGCTTTATATAACAAATTGTGTTATAAATTTTTACCATTTATAACAGTTTGAAAACTGTTATACTCTTGTAATAGTTATTTTTACAAGCTATATTGTTTAGAACATTTGAAAGACCCATTTTTATTAAAATTTCTTTAAAACTTGGAAACTGTTATACTGAATATAACTATTCAAACATGTGTTTGAATTATTCGTAACCTTTTAATAAAGATTTTAACAATTTATAATAATTTCTTAAAGATTTTAACTTTGAAAACTGTTATACTCGTTTATTTAGTTAAAAATTGTTATATTTTTATAACAGTTCTTTCAAAAACATGTTAATTATAACAATTCACTTTATATAAGTTATTTTTCAGAAGTATGCTAAAGAATTTTACAATTTATAATAGTTTTGAAAACTCTTATATTGGTATAACAGTTATTTCAATAAACTACTTTGTTTAAATATTTCTTTAAAATTTTTTAACATTCCAAGTTGTTTTATATTTTAGGTTTTTTATTTTTATTATAACAGTTTTGTTTTTTATTTATTGAGATTTTATTGCTAGTATAACAGTTGTGGCAAAACTGAATTGTTACGATTTTTTTTTAATAATTTATTAAATATTTTTTAAGGATTTTTATTTTTAAGTCTTTTTTATTAATTTATTTCAATTTTTCACACATTTTCTTTTTAATTTATTTTTATTAATTTTTAATAATTATTCAAAAATGATCTCATTTATTTTTAAACCCAAAGAAGCCATTTATTTAATTTTCTAGTCAGAAACAAAGAATTTCTTTTTTATAATTTAATTTTTAAATTAGCATTAGCAAAGACAGAAAGATATTATAAAACTAAAAAAAAAATTATTTGTATTTAATTTTATGTTAAATTTAAGTTATTTTTTATAGTCTAAAAAGAAAATATATTTAATTAATATATATTTATAAAAAGAAAATATATTATAACTTAATATTTATAAACCAAAAAAATATATATGAAAACTAAACTCTAGTCAATAAAGATTTTCATTTTTAATATAATAAATTTTATTCACTTTTAAAAACTATAAATTATTTTTTTTATATAAAAAAATTAAAGAAAAAAAAAAAAGATTAAATGCTGTAAAAAAAAACTTAAGCTTGAAGAAAAATACAAAAAAAAATAATAATAAATAAAAAAATATAAAAAAAATTAAAAAAAAATTCCCTTAAGCGGTGAATATTAAAAAATATAAATATTCTATAGCTTAATGTTATATATTTAAGGTTTTTATTTATTTAAGGTTTATTTAACAAATTTTTTGTGGAAAATTTGTTTTATTAATGTTTTTTTTTTTATTTGAAATATGAAAAAAACTCTTTCTTAATTTATAATAAAATTAATTTTTTTTTATTAAAAAGAAATTTGTTTTTTTTTTTAAATATATATTTATTATTCTCATAAAAAAAAAGAAATTACTTAAAAGAAAATCATGCTAGTCAATGTTTTAAATATGTTTTTTTTTTTATAAAAATTTAAAAAAAATACTTTTCATATATTAGAAAATTAATATAATAAAATTATTTTATTTGTATGATATAATTTATATTTATATAAAATATTTTTTTTGTTAATTATGAAGTTAATTTTAGTAAAAAAAAAAAAAAAACATTTTTATTTTTGGGAAATTATTTTTTTATTTTAAAAAATATGAAAAAATCTTAAATTTTTATTTAAAATTAGCAAAAAAATATTATTATTATTATAAAAATATAAAAAACTTAAAAATTTGGGCAATATAATGTAAAATATTTAAAATTTTTTTTAACAAAAAAAAAACTTATTATTAAAAAAAAGAAAATATTAAAAATACTTAAAAAAATACAAAAAAAAAACACAATAAATTAATATTATAAATATTACATGTGTATTCTAGTCTAAAATAAACCAAAAAAAACACACTTTACACTTAACAAAAAAATTTAAAAATTCTAACACTTACTCTTAACATAAATTACACAATATTGAAGGAAAAAAAACAAACAAAATTTTTTTGAATTATTAATTAAATAAATAAAATATAAATTAATATGTAAAATATATTAAAAAAAATATTAAAAAAAAAACTAAACAAAAAAGACTTTTTATTTCTTAGGCACACAGGAAAATACACATTAAAAAACACTTAAACATTTCATACATCTCATCTCCACAGTCACTCTTAAACCACTCTTCCACTTTTTAATCCTATTTGACATATAAACCTTTAATCCTTTTCCCTCCTTACCCTGTTTTTTTTTTTTTTTTTTTTTTTTTTTTCAAACATTTTATATATTTTCTCTCAATTTTTAAGAATAATTTTTACTAACCAATTTTTTCTTTTAGGTGTCTTAAATTGAACCCCTGTTCCATTCGAGCCTGTGCTAGAGGACGTGGTTTTCTTTCAAGCACCTTTAATAATAATTTATGTCTGTAAATATATCGAAAATTTATTCAGACTCTGTAGCATCTTTAAAATTAGCCCATTGCTTTAATGTAGCAAAACTCTGTGAACTACACTACAACTGGTTGGTCCAACTTTAAAACAACGTGTAACATTATTTATTTATTTTTTTTAATTTTAAAGTAAACTTTTAAATAAATTTCTTTTCTTTTTTTTTTCTTTTTTAATTTTTCTTAAAGTGTTAAAAGTAAAATGCATGCCTCTTCTCTTCTAAACTACCCCCGACTACCTAGTAAAAAAAAATGTTACTCCCTACTACTGTAAAGGATTTTATTTAAGAATACCAAAACCAAAAGCTAGCTACTTAATAGCTATAATAATTTTTGTGTAATTGTATTGAATTTGTAAACATTTTATAGCAAAAAAAAAAAACAGTTTCTAGTTAAAAATAATTTGTAGTTAAAATTTTATTTACCCATCATTTATTTTTATTTTATAATAATTTTTTTTATATTTTACAGCTTTTTTTTAATTTTTTTATAAATTTTATCTTCTTCCCTCTTGAAAGAAACGGAACAACCCTTGGAATGTATTGGCTTTAATGTTATCAAAACAATTTTGTCAAAATTTCTTTATTTTTTCAAATTGTATGCTGTTTCCGGTTCTTTTACTTCCTAACCCCTCAAAAAAAAAACCTCTTAAATAAACTACTATTTTCTTTTTAAAAATTTTTCACAGGTAAATTATAATTTTTTTTTCTATAAATTTTTAAAATTTTGTTTTAGTAGTTAAGTATTTTTTGAAATTAATTAATATTTGAAAAAATACCTAGAAACAAAAAAAAAAACAAATTATTGTAAATTTTAAGTGCATGCGTATTTAATTTATATATTTTGACTACTTTTTTTGACAAATTTTATTCCCCGCCTTGTAGCGTTAAATGTTGTATTGTTTTTTAAACATACAACACTATAACTTTACAATGCCGTTTCAGAATTGCATAATTGTAAAGTTTAATTTGATTTCTTTTACCATATATTTTTGTTTTAAAGAAATATGTTGAAGTATTTTTTTAGTGTGAAATTTTCCAAACTCTAGCATTTTTTCTTTAAAGCAAAAATATTTTTATATTTGAAATCAATTTAAAACTTTATAGATTTTTATAAAAATTTCTAAAAAGAATTCTATTAATCAATAGATTTTCTTTCAGTTAAAAAAATTTTCAAAATTTTTCTAAAGCAACGCCAAAAAAGTCATGATAGATGAGAGCTCGTAAACTTCGATCTAACTCAATAAATTATAATGAAATTGAAATAAAGACTTTGTTACAATTCCCATATTCTAGTTCAACAAAACTTGTAAGTTTAATTGATGATCTTTACAAGTGACACAAAAAGATTGCTAATGACGAACCGTAACGGGCTCGAGAAAATGCATTAAAGTGTTCTGTATTCTTATAATTTGAAAATATCATTACAATTTCGAAAAAAATCCCCAACTGGAACTCTAACTCGAGGCCGTAATATATTCAATTAATAACATTATTATAAATTCGCAAAAAGAAAACCTCAACTGGGACTCGAACTAGAGACCGAAATATATTCATTTAATAACATTTGTTTGAAAACTTTAAAGAGTTTCGGCAAAACTATTGAGTTTTCTTTCAAAAAAAATGTCAAATTTCTAAAGAATTTCAGAATTTGTCCAACACATCTGCTTTCGAGATATTTTAGCCTAAAATTCTTGCTCTACGTCATACATTTGTGATGTTATAACAGCGCGAAGCAACCTTTATTTATAAAATTTGTTAAGACATCTGAAAGTCCCTTCCTTTCGCTTCAATATAGAAGTTTAACCTCTGTTATATCTTAATGCTTTAAGATATTCTAATCTAAAATTCGAAACAACCATAATGTTTAAAACATCGATTTCTCTTTATTTTAAAGCAAAAACTTTCAACAGGCGATATCTCAGCAAATTATAGAAAAACTAAACAAAAAAAAAAAAAAAAAAAAAAACTATCATCATATATCAGTTGTGCCCTATTAGTTCACTCTAAAATAAAGGCGTAAAGTTACTCCTCCTGTTCCTTATACAACTTAGATAGCTTTGGGGTTCAACCTCGAACACAAGGTCTTGGATACCCTGCAATCTATTGATCAACCTACAATAGCTTTGCCGAACTATTTATACGAATCGAGGTTCAGATCAGAGCTCTTTTGCCAATTAGTTAAAGCTCTCGTACCTTTTGCAGCTAGTTAAAGCTCTCGAACCTTTCATTCTTTTCCTAGACATAATGCATATGAAATATAAGATCTTTCGATTAATATACGTATTTCCTATATATATACCGAACATGGAATCTGAAATATATTCAAAATTCTGTAAAACAAATCATGGGTTTTAACGGAATTTAGCTCATATATGCATTAATTATGAATCGATTTTGTTGATTTTCAATAACAAACTTCTCGAAAGCATTTCTAATAGAATTTTTCAAGATTTCCATCCCGAAGATATCTGGGGTTTTCAAAAAAATAGTTTGCAATAAACACGCATATAACGAAAAATGTGGTTTTCTGGATTCAGCTCATTTCAATCCTTTAGAAAACTTATGTTGATCCCTGTATTAAATGTTAATAATGGGCCTATCCCTGAAGTTCGACAAAGAGTCAGTGCGTCCGAAAAAAAAATAGTAATTTCCACTCTAGTCTAACCCCATCTGATTCTGGCTCAAAAGTCTTCATTTCGAGTTTTACTTTATGTGAACATTTATTACAATAATAGACGAGGAATTCGATTCGAAAATCTTTAGTTTAGTCAATATTTGTATAACTTAACCAAATCGTTAAGTTTTCAAAATCGTAATATGATTTCAAAAAGACATTCCAGCTGAAAACTTCAGGTGGAGGTCATAAGAAGGCAAGAATAGTTCGCATTTTTTCTCCATGAAATAATAATCCAATTCACAATCGATGTT